GGAGCTTTTTCCTCATTAGGGATGTGTACCGAAACTCTGTACTTTGTCGGTATCTCTGCTATATTAAAAAAGACAGAAATATCGATAAGCTCTGACGTTAACGGTTCTGCTATCAGTAATGGAGAATTATTGCTGAATAAACTTTACTTACAGTAGCAAAATTTAACAGACCAACCTTTTCCAATTTATGATATTTGATATTCATCTGCACAGTTGGCAATATCACATGAGAAATGCTCGGGCGAGCTTGTCAAGTATAAATGGATAATTAATTCCCAAAACACTGTTAACTCATTTATGCGAATGCATTAATGAAAAATCATAAACATGATCTCATTTAACCGGAATTTGCAACTCAAAGCAGGTATTTTCAACTGCAGGAAGTACAATTAACAAAGATAGATCCCAACTTCTGCCAGAAAAGGCAAACATGTTGATTTTTCTCTACATTCTTTAACAGGAAAAATTTGTTTTGTTTTTGTTTTATAATTATTGATTTAGTTTTCATTCATTCATTCATTTTCTTATCAGCATAGTCTCTTTTATATTATGGGGTCTAAGCATGGGCCTGTACAAGATTCTGACGGTAGGATAACCTTAGATAAAAATATCACGGTTTCCTGTCTTCACGGTATTTTGATCACTGCTCAAAAATAAGTTATTTTAAAATGTCTGGGTAAAAAAACAAAAACTTTTTCCCCCTTTGAACACAATAAAATTCATTTTGTTAAAGATTTAAAATATTTTGCAGTAAACATGTCAGGCTAAATAATTAGATCATTAGATTAAAAAAACACAGATTTCTTTACAATTTATAAGACATCTTTGGATATATTTTCTCCTGGAGATACTGTTGTCTTAAAAAAAATGTAAAAACCTAAACAAAAAAATCGTACACATACCTTAGAAACGGTATTGCAGAAAATTTTGGCATTTTGAAAATTTTAATTTAAAAACCTTGACTTTTCCAAACTGCGATAAACCTTGAAAACGGTTATCATCTTATGCCTACTGTAGTCACCACAGCAGAATGAACCGCCAACTTATGCAGCATATGTTCTACGCGAACACAGGGAGAACATGCAAACTCCACACAGAAATGCCAATTGACCCAGTCGAGGTTCAAACCAGCAACCTTCTTGCTGTTAGGCGAACGTGCAACCCACTGCACCACTGTGCAGCCCTGATTTTGTTTTATTTAACCTTAAAAACGTAATAATAAAATGTTGTTAATTCTGTTCAATTTTTTTTTTTTTCGTAAAAAAAACACAACAAAAAGTACCAATAAGAGAACCGTTAAAGTAATCAGTCGGTTTTGTGCTACAGAGAGACAACTCTTATCCTTTTGATTAGTATTATTTTGTTTGGGTTGTGCAATTTAAAGGGCACAGTTTACCCCTTTTTTGAGATTTAATATTAATATTATGGTTCTTCTGTAATTCACAGAATTTCTACAAAGTATGTTGTATACTGTAACCTCACAGACATTTTTGTCACATGCATAGCACATGATTATTTTCCTCATTTAGAATCTAAAAAATGTTTACAGATTGATATTTTTCTGCTCCCACAACTTGTTGTTTTGGAGAATATAGACAGATGTTTCAATATAATGTTAACATATACTTTCTCTGTGAATTTATGTTTTGAGATCTTACTGCACATGTCGCATCCATAACACTGGAATTGCTCATTTTTTTATTAAAAAAACTATTCAAAAAACAATGTTCATCATGCACTATGCAAACTAAAAAAAAAAATGAACACCCCATAATGAAACAGCATTTTTCCTTTTTCTTTTGCAGATGTTATTACTTTTGTTATAAATTTATCTTCAAACAAACCCCATCTACTGTCAAAATTTCATTAAAACATTAATTCATAAATTATATGATAAATTGTAAAATGTTCAGTCAAGGTTTGTCATGTTCTACTGCAAATGAAAATTTTATTTTTTACAGACCATTCTCTGTAAACCCCTAGAGATTGTTGGGTGTGAAAATCCCAGTAGATCAACAGTTTCTGAAATAATCAGACCAGCCTGTGTGGCACCGTTAACCATGCCATGTTCAAAGTCACTTAAATCACCTTTCTTGCCCATTCTGATGTTCGGTTTGAACTGCAGCAGATCGTCTTGACCATGTCTACACGCCTAAATGCATCGAGTTTCTGCCATGTGATTGGCTGATTAGAAATTAGCGTTAACAAGCAGTTGGACAGTTTGTACCTAACAAAGTGGCCGGTGTCAGCAAATTCTGTCGACTTTCGGATGAACATTCTTTAAAGCGTGCAACACACAACTGAGGTTTCGGAAATGACCCCATATATACAAGGTTGACTTAAGGTAAGGTAATAACATTCGCTGTGCTCTGAATTTGCTCTTCTTTGAGTGATGGTGTGATTAATAACAATGATTCACTATAGTATGATGTATGCAGACAGTGTGTGCTTATGTTTTCTCACTCTCTCCTGACTGCTTACATCATGGCTGCTTTTAGCCACATAATGTCTGAACAGAACATAAAGCCATAGAAGGTTCATTATAAGTTGGAAACAGTAAACAATTCACTATTGTTTCAAATAATGAATAATGACAGAAGCCACAGTGGGGGTCAAACCAATCTGGCCCATTCAAGTCATGTACAAGTTTTAGCCTCCTAAGTCGGTGGAGTGACACTGATCTAGTTAGACTGATCTGAAGGGATAATTCAGCCGAAATTAAAACTTACTTCAGCTGAAATCGTGGCACTAGGTGATTCATAAAATTGAAGCCAGTGAAAGGGCAGGTTAACTCTGAATTGCATTTTATGATCACCAAGGATTGCAACTTAATCTATAATGTCCTTTAATATTCTGCTGAAGAAAAAAAAAGTTTTGGATGAACTGATGTAGGGCTGGGCGATATGGAAAAAATGCAATCTCGATAATTATCTTCCATTTTGAATAATAACAATATACTGTATATTTGTTGTTAATGCTTCCAGATTTAATCGAGTACCCCAACAATGACTGAAGCCTCAAAAATTAAAGGCTTCCAATAAACGGCATAACATTTTTTAGCTGATGAGTTTTCTGTGTCCGATAATTTGGTACATCTCTAATTTCAACACACTTCTAGATTCCCATCATTGCACATTTCTGCTGTGTGATTGGCTCTTAGATCAATATAGAGTTTTAAAAAAAGTCCAGAGCTTATCATTGTTATTGATATAAATTGTATTGCGATTCGATATAATAACATTTATCAGTTCACCCCTAGCCTAATAGTGACTAAATTAACAGCAAAATTTTATTTTCTATTTCTTTTACCTCTTAAACAGATCTCTCAGCCTATTGGCAGATTTTTTTTTAATTTATACAACTCAAAACTTTAACTGAGTATTATACGAGTATGTATAGCAGATTGCTTTAATGTACTCCAGCATAATTTATCTAATATTATGTTAAAACTAGTTTTAATTGTGGATAAAACAAAACGTATGTTATTTTCAAATTTAAAACAAACTAAGCAAAAGCTAGGTTCTATTACTACCAAAGTCCCTTTAAGGCAAGTCATTTCATTCAGCAGCCATCTTTGAAACACCTCTCGAACAGTATGCTCTGGCATTCTGTTTGAATAGGGAAACATCAAATTATCCAAACCTGCTTACCAAACTTACGATTGAATTTCATATTAGAAATCACCAATAAAATGTAACCACAACTGTCCCTTTAGTTTAATTTCTCCAAGTTTCATTTCGTCCAAATCTTCACAAAATCTTCTCGTCTGGTCCGAGCCCCTCCCCCAGAGGATCGTCAGTTTATAGCGATCGATGATTGGCTCCTATACTGGTAGGCGGGTCTTTATTCAACATATTGACAGTTACACTTTTCCCAATTCAAAAAGATACGAATGACGAGTCTTGTGTATTCTATAGTCTTTGCTACTACGCAGAGATTGAATTGGTGTCCCAGTACAAATATCTTGGAATTTTAATTGTTAATACACTTTCTTTTAAATCTCATACTCAGCAATTGGTGAAAAATTTTAAGTAACTTTAGGCTTCTTTTACAGAATTAAAACTGCCTTTGTTTTGATGCTAAAGACAAGCTGGTTGTTTCCTATGGTTTGCGGCTGGTTTGCGCTGCGTAAAACGTGCTGGATAAGTTGGCAGTTCATTCCGCTGTGACGACCCCGGATTAATAAAGGTACTAAGCCGACAAGAAAATGAATGAATGAATGAATGAATGAATGAACGATAACATCTCAAAACAGCCAATAACATCTACAGATTTTTTTTGTTTGTTTTGGTAGTGATTATTAACTTTTATAATAGTGATAAATTTCTTGTAAAAGAAGAATGTGCCGATGTAATATGTAACATAACACAAGACGTATTGTAATAAGAGCACAACCTTCAGCCCTTCACAATATTTTATATTTAACATTGTACCAAGTTGAGCATATGTTTACTTTTATCTGGTCAAAAATTCACCAGTAAATTGGTCAACAGCATGGCACTGTTGGTCATGTGACTTTAATATGGTGGCATCCTACTCTGTCTACAATAAAACAGCTTACTTTCAATTACATACAAAGGTTTTACGTTATTCTTTTTAGCTGTGTGTGTTTGTTATTTGTATGTAATTTTAAACATCCTTTGCAATATTTTTGATTTGAGAGTAACATAGTTAGGAATATGTCAAATTATGTTGGGATTGGGAACATATAAGTATGTATATTTGATATTTCTGTATTAAAATCAGTTAAAAAGACAAGTATATTTTATGACACGTTTAAACTGTTAGCTATAAAAGCGAACTGACAAAAAAATACAAAATATGCCTTTGCTAAACATCCAACATGTCAAAGTTTGTCAGGTGCTGGAATGAAGAAGTGCTTTAAAAAAACGTTCTGCTTACATTATAAACTACCAAACACCGTAAACAATCCGACCTTTGTCACCGCGATAGGGCTGGCGACTTTAGTACATTAACCTGTCAAAGTTTACAACACTCACCCTCCGTAGTGTGCTTTAATTTTCACGTACTCCGACGGCAAATCCATCATGGATCCGTTACTGACAGGCATTATAACTCCAAAAGTCTACAAACACTCTCTTGGGACAGAAACCCACCGGCTCTCAGTAGCAGATATCAAATGTAAACTGTCATAATTCCGAATGAAGTCAGCGTGTCAGTGGTCAAGTCTTGTCCTTAATGCCTCCAATGTCACGTCGCAGCCGAAATGTGCCATATCGCGAGCGCGTAATGCAGCTTTTTCCGGTACGCTGGATTTTACGGTGTCTTTGCTATGGTTACACGTAGGGGCGGAGAGAGAGAGACAGAAGTATGGCTACTTCCAGGGCTGGATTGGCCTCGGAATCCACCTGTTGTTCACTTGCTTTCCGTGGGACCTTCCGTGCGTGTGTTTAGCGCTGTCGTGAGGAAATATTGCAAAGTGCACTTCATAAAATCATAACGGACTTGTTTTCGAGCGACGGCTGCTCCATTACTCCGTCCGCTGTGACGTCAGCGTGGAATGTGCAGACCCCGTGAACGCTTTATTTTCAGGTGGATGTAACGGTTTGTACGGTGCGCGTCCAGCCGGCCTCGCTCTCTTTCTCTCTATGTTGAGACTGAACGCTTATCCAATTAAACAGAAGTAGGTCGATGAGGGAAGAAACGCTCGATGCACGTGAATGGGATGAAAACTACCTCTGAACTAGTGCACTTCTCGGGAAAGATGCAAATAGGCTACAAGTGTTAATGGCTATGAATGGAACAAGTGTTTTGGTCGACACTAAGCATGACTTTCAGGCCTGTAGCCAGCCTAGTGAAAGGGTGGTTCTGTTTTCTCAAAAAGTGGATATTTTTGGGGGTTTATTCGCCTCATTCTCTATTTAATTATGATATTTAATGATATGTGTGTCATTGTAAGCACTACTTTTAGCTGGATTAGTTTGTCGAGTGGTCATCATAAGCACATGGTTTGATGTAACGAAAACATTTCCTAAAGATTTAAAGCAAAAAAATATGAATAAATACTTATTTTTAAATACAAATGTATTATATCATATACTATTAGAAACAAAATTTACATTTGTTGAAGTTATAAATTAAAAACTGTAGCCTATTGTCATTTATTAGGCAAATAACAAACTGGCCAGCACATTCAACTTTCGTCAGTCAGAATTTGGCCATTTGAATAATAAAATTTTAAACAATATTATTAATAAAAAATGTAGAGCTTAATGTTTTTTTTAGCCTCTCTTAAAAAAAAGTACATTTGAATATTCATGGATGACAGCATTAGCCAAAATGGTATTTAAATTAATTTTAATATGGGCCGCCTTCTGTGCTTCACATCTTTTTATTGGTCATTTCTGTTTCAGGAATAAGGTCCAGCATTTAGAATAAAAGTTACTTGTAAAATGTTTTCTCTATTTAAAAACAATACAGTAGAGAAAGAAGACTTCTCTCACGTCAGACTGTGTGTTTTCTTGCACAGCTGGATGTTAAACTCATGAAAAATAATTCTGTGCATTGATCAAAACTGATTAGCTGAAGTCACATTGATGAGACAGTCAACAGAGGATTCCTCTTGGCCTTAAAGCCTTTTTTTTCTGTAAGTTTTCACAATTTATGATGGTATATTAGTCAAAATAAGACAAATGAGGTTATGTATGGGACAAATTCTGGACCTTTGTCAGTGAGAGTGGGTCTTTTGAACCACCCAAAACACTCCTGGCTATATGGGCTTGATTTTTATTATCTTGTTGGTGTTCACTTTTGTTTTATTCAATCAAAGTCTGATAACGGGTGTTGAGTAAAACAAAGTAACAGGCCTGTATTACATTTTTAAAGACTATCTTACTCTTAATAAATAGCAACACACTTTAAAGTAGCACATTTTTAAAGTGACTTTAACTGCCCCACCGAGAAAAAAACAGCATTTGGATTGCATGTCTTAACTCCTAATGTCGCTAGTTACCACACTCAATGCATTTTTTTTTCAACACATCCCATAATATTTAAAATATTATAGTGATTTGTATTAAAAATGATTTGATTTGATTAACCTCTACCATATGTCGGTTTATGGTAAAAGTACTGTAATTAATATATATACTATGAAAAATCTTTAAAAGATTGCAAATGTAAGACCAATTTATTTAAAAACAGAATCAAAATAAAACATTTTTGAATACTAAATCATAGTGTAATATAATCATTATAAATTTAACAAAGACTATTAGTAAAGACTGTAATAGCTGTAATGTTTCTCATTCTTGCATAAAATTCTTAGCTCTCGGTTTCCAATGAAAAGTGCTGCCGGTGCAAAAAATGTGTTTATTTTGTAGTCTAATTCACATTTTATCCACTTGATGTCACTACAAGCTTTTTATTTAAAACTAGAATTATCAAACGTGATTTTCACAGAACCAGTTCATATAAAAGTGGTGGTAGGAATCAGTTAAAACTTAATCATTATTGTTAAATTGTCAATAAAACGATAAATTAATAAATTGCAATAGGCTAATTATATATAAAAAGTAAAGAAAACAAATAGTCAAAAAGTTTCATCAAAAATGATATACACCCATAACTATCTGGAATTAGATTGTTGAGCTTGTGCTGGAAGATGTGCTGGATACTTTACTCAAAAGATTATAGTTTCACTCATCAAAGCAATGGTTAGAATATATTTATGTGGTTTCGGTGTTATTTTTCCAATCTAAACCTTACACTGCGGTAAAAACTTAAATAAAACTTCACGCCCAGGGCAAATCGGCGAGGTTTTAGTACACAGGCCTTGCGCAACGTCATAAACACACACACTCACACACACACACACACCTTCATTACATTCTCCTCATCTGAATTGACGGGACAGTGACTCGCTGCAGCGAATCGGTTCGTATAAACTGTTCATTTGAACAAATCTGTTCAATTCCATGATTCCTGTGCGTCTGACGCATACGTCATCGCGTAGTTCTTTAGTATCCTGGCATGTTATCTGCTCTTTTTATATATTTTTAATTTATACATAATTTATAATTTATGTTGGATATTAATTAATTTAACTATTTGCACATTTATCTACTTATTTTAATATATATTTTATTTCTATTGTTCTATTATATTTTTTTAATGTTATTCATTTTAATAGTTTTTTATTCGTTACTTAATTACCAGATTGTTTTAATCCAGTTTTATTTTATGTATCTGTTTCTTCTATACTAAGATGGGTTGATTTGGTTTCTTTTACACGATTATAAAATGTTTATATTTATATATTTCATATTAATATAAAGTGATTTATTATAAAATGTTTGATATTTATTTGAATCTTACTATTTGTTTGATAAATGAATTTCTTCTTAGCTTCCCTGAAAACGATCTTGTTAGCTGTCTGGTTCTGTTGATTCACTAGGAACCGATAGGGTTTATGGAGGTTCATGAAAAGATTCGATTCAGTAGAACAAATCATTCACGAGTCGGACGTCGCCAGTCTGGATTATGACGTTTGTGGGATTACCTTACGCACAAACAGCACCAACTCACGAAACAGTTCTTGATTTTGATTTACTTGATTATTCCTTGTCGATACATCAATAATTAATTAACCTCGCTGGACGAATAACTTAACTCTTTTTTTTCCACCTCAGGCCAGCGTTAGCATGTTAGCCGTGCAGTCCCACAGGTAGCTTCTGTGCCTGAACCGCGATGTGCTATTTGCTAAATAAATGGACGCTTTTGTTTTTATGCGTACGTTATGAAAAATAAGGAAAAGATTTATAATAAGGTGGTGAACAGGAGTTTAGGCATTCAGGAGTGCTAGTTAGCCAGCTAGCTGTGCATCAACTTACTCCTCACTGAAAACGTCAGCCTTTGTGTTTCTGACATTGACAGAACTTATTGAAATTAGTTAGTAACTTAAATGAGACTAAAACCTCGCCAATTGCGTTACATGGAAAATCTACAATGTCGAGGATTCTTCTGGGCCTGGTAGTGCTTGGTTAGTAAAGTGTATTCTTTATTACCTCTGATAATTATATTTTGTAATACGTAATTATTAAATATTTGAATATTGTCAGCAACTGCGACCACAGTAAAAAAATAAATTAAATTTTTAAATCTTAATTTTACACAATGTTTTAATTGTACAAATAATTTAATTTGTACCTTTGCTTTGTCTAACAGGATTCAATGTTGCTGTTCAAGATGTTCATGCCTTCGGTGAGTTTCTGACTTTAGGCTGTTGTTTTCAGTAGAGCTTTTAAAACTGTTATATGTCAACTCCTAAATATTCTTAAAACATACATGTTTGCTTGTATAGAAAGTAGAAATTCGTTTTGACTGATAGAAAATAAGGACATTCTGAAATTTACGTGTTTATGAAATGATGAAGCTAATTTAATAAATGTTTTGTCTTTGTACTAAAGCTTGAGTTGTTTATTAGAGTAATAGCTTTCTATGAAGTCATTGTTCTTTATTTTTTAAAATATTAAATGTTTTTTATCCAACTTTAGAAGAAAAAAAATGTCCTACTCAATCATTGTGTGGTCAATTGTGCTATAGCCAGTGAACAATTGCCTTGAAATACACAGGAGGTTTGGAATTATTTGTTAATTGTTCAAAATCTTGATAAAATTTTAGTTTAAGTACCAATTTTCACTATTAACCACTGGATTGTTACGTGTCTATTATTTATTGTTCATTAGTACTTATAAAGGTACCTATAAAGTATGATATTATTCTGTATGATTGTATAAGTGTGATGTTAAATCCTTATCCTACCCAGTACTTAAACCTAATTACTACATTACTAACTACTAAGCAGCAAATTGGTAGTTTTTTTTGACAAAAGGGGCTTGGTTAATTAGTTTTTGATTAGCTTTACTTTATTTTAGTTTAGCTTCAGCCTAAATAATACCTAAAATCTTTATATTAATATTTATTTTAGTAGTATTTCTAAGCTTTATTTCACTAATAAAAATAATAAATAATAGGTTTACAGTCAAATTTACTCGCACAAATATTTGAAAGTATTTAAAAGTCTGTAATATCAGCACACAAACCCTATTT